TTAGCGATATAGTATATATAGTAAGCCTAGGCATAATATAAGAATATATTAGGTAGTAATTAAGATATCTAGGGAAGAGTATAGTGAGTAGTATTAATTAATTAATTAATTTATTGCGTTTTTATTATAGTTTAAATCCTTTAGGGTAATAAAAAGTGCGTTATATACTTGGATGCATTGTATGCTTATTATATATATTATTATCTAAATATATTATTCTTTCGGCGAGTTTTAATATTAATTACTTTCTTTATTATAAACTTATAAATAATCTTCCTTTTATAGCCTATTATTCTTTTCTTTTTATTATTTATTATTAATCTAAGCTATAGCGAGTTATTATTAAGCTTTAGCTTTAATATTATAATTAAGGTTATTATAATATTAATTAAAGTATTATATTATTATAATTATTTTAGTATTTAAGTCCCTATTAGGCCTATTAATTAGTTTTAATAATAGCTTTTATCTTAACCTATCTATAAGGTAAAGCTATCTTACCCTTAGGGGTTTTATTATAATATATTATAGTTTTAACTAGGGATAATTATTATACTTAAATTATTCCTTAGTAAGGTATACTTAGTTATAAGGTATAATAATTTCTCCTAGTTTTAAGCTAGTATTATTATACTTAGTCTAGGCTATACTAAGTATCTTAGTTATATATAAAGCTATTTATAATTTATTATTAGCTTAATATATATAATAAGCATGCACCGCATCTAAGTATATGCCGCACTTTTCTTATACCCTTAAGTTAAAAACCGCAATAAAAACATAATAAACTAATTAATTAATTAAAACTAATTACTATACTCTTCGCTAGAAGTCTTAATTATTACTTAATAAGTCCTAGTATTATAGCCGGTCTTTCTATATATATTATAGCGCTAAACCCCTAATCGCGCTAACCTTCCTTAATTACTACTTCTCGACGATTCCGCTATTACTTATATATTACTATCTATCTAATTAATTACTTACCTTCCCTCCTCTACTATTATTACCCCTCTTCTCTATAATTAGGTTCTTTTTGCCCTCTAGCGCCGGCTTAATATCTTATTTATTTACCAAAGGTCTTAGACTTTAGCCCTTAATAAGGCATTCTTATATATTATTATTATAATTCTCTTAGTAAGGGACTTAAGAGCTCTTAGAATTAACTCTAAGGAGCTACTTTAATATTATCTAATTTGTCTATTAAGGTATTTAAACTAAGATTAGGCCTTAAGTATAGTCTTTAGGGTCTTTAAGACCTAAGGGTTTATAGGGCTAATTACCTCCTCGGTAGGTATTAAAGTCTATAGCTATATATTAAGCTTTAAGACTATACTTTCTAGGTTAAGAGGAATAAGCCTAGCTCCTTTAAAGGCTAATTTAATATTTCTTTTTATTATAATAGCCTAATAAGCGATATAAAAGGCTAAAAAGAACTTAGTCTTTAAAATATAGGTTATAGAGTATTTAATTAGATATTTTATTTCTTAGTTATAAGCCTTTTTAAGTAGGCTAAAATACCTAATATTAAGAGGCTAAAATAAATAAGATAAATAAGGCGATATATAAAATATAATAATCTTATTTTCCTTATAATACCTCTTAAAGGCGATAGAATAATAACTTTTATAGCTATCGAGGATTAAAAGATAATAGCGACTATTTAATCGCTTAGCTATATACCAGTCGAAGTACTTAAGCTATTTAAGACTAATCTTATTATTAGTCTAGCTATTTTAGGTTATTATAATAGCCTAATCGCCCGGGAGGTTACTCTCTTAGTACTAATTAGCGAGGTAATATTAGCCTATATTAATAATAAATAGCTAGATTACTTAGCCTTCTATATTAATTACCTAAATTACTATAATCTATTCTTAGCTTCTAGGCTATATTAATTTTAGTCTTTTATGCCTTTTTATACCTATAATAACTATTCCGCTTATAATTATGCCTATAAGAAAGCTAATCTTATTAAAATTCTAAATATTATTTAATTAAATATTATACTTCGCGATTATATTTACTATAAATTAAAACTATTTATAAATACTAATTAGATCTTTATATTTAGCTCTCTAGTAATTATATTTATAAAAGAAATAAGTCTTAAGCTCTTTATATTATATAATAAAGTTATAAGCCTAGCGCTTATTAATAGGTAATATATCGCGGTCGGCGAGTAATCAGTTAGTTATTTCTTTAATAGTATATAATTAGGGAGGAAATCCTCGCGAATCTAGGTCGAGAATAAACTATATTATAATCTATTCCTCTAGATTAGATAATCGGCGTAACTTAGGGATCTAATTATATCGCGATTAAATCCCTTATCTACGACGATATAATTACCGCTTATTAATCTTATAGATTCCTATGGCGCGTTAGATACTTAGTTTTAGGTTATTTTAAAGGGCTTAAAGGGTAAAAAGGGTTCTAGCTTTAGTATTTAAGTCTAATATTATTCGTGGTATAGAAATCAATTAATTAATTAGAAAGTTTAATATAAGAGGGAAAAATGCGGCGTATACTTAGATGCAGCGCATACTTATTATATATGTTATATAAATCTTATTTATTTCTTATCTTTAAGAAGCTATTATTATTATAGCTAATAATATTTTTCCTTAATATTATATTATTTTTTATAATAGATTTTTTTAATATAATTTATCTTATAATAAGATTAATATTTAAGTCTATAATAATCGTATTTCTTTTATTAAGTTATTCTAAATTTTATAGGTCTTATATAAGTTCTATAAGATATATCGATTTATTAGTATTATCTTTAGTTAATATTAAATTAAGGTCTTTAATAATTTCCCTTATTATTATAGGGGCTCTAGAGTTTCTTCTAAGAGAATTATTAGTTATTAATCTTAATTACTTAGCTAATATAATTAATAAGGTTATTAAGTTAGTTTTTTTTATAGAGTTTAGCTTATATATCTTTCTTAAGTCTATTAAAAAAGAGTAATATAAATAATTATTAATCTTATCTTAGCTTTAAGGTAAATTAGAGATATTTTATATTATATTCCGAGGTAAATTAAGTTTAATTAAATACCTTAATTTTTTATTCTGCTTATGCCTTTTTATTAATAATTCTAAAGGCCTATTATAAGGCGGCTTTAAACTTAATATAATTAGTATAAAATTCATAGGTATAGAAAGAGAATTAGGCAAAAAGAGTATTAAGGTATTCTTTTATATTAGGTTTAAATTATATAATAATATACTTAGTAAGTTATTTTATAGTATATTAGATATAGCTAAATTCTTATTTAAATTAAGTTAGGTAATATATTATAAAAGCGCGTAATTATATAAGAAAAGTAGGTAATTTATATATAATATTATTAAATTTCTCTCATAGTTCTAGCTTTAGGATTTCTCTAATATCCTTACCCTTTATAGCTATAATAATTATATTATTAATAAGCTAGATATTATCTTAGTATTATTAATTCTAGACTTCCTAATTAGCGGCTATATAATTAATAAGTCCCCTAAGCTTATTTATTTTAATAATTATTATTATAACCTAAGCTTAGAGTTATTTAACTTCTTTATTATTATTATTTATTTCTTTATTATTATTAGGATTAGCCTAAGTTAATACGATAGGAATAAGTAAATAATTAATAAGTAAGACCTACTAATAATTAATACTAAGAATAGCCTAAATAGCTATTATATTTAATATTATTTAGGGTAATATAAGTAATCTAATAAATAAGAGCTATTAATATATAATAAAAGGGTAATTCCTAAGGGATAAATTAGTTATATTAATTTATATTAGTATTAGGTTATATTATATAGCCCTAAAGGGTAATATAATATTATATCTAATAATATATTTAAGGGTATTAAATATAACTAAGTTATATTAATAACTAAGATAGCTAATATATAAGAAGGTATAATAAATATACTTTATATATTATCTAGTCTTCTAAGTCGAATATAGTCGAGTCGAGTCGAGTTATTAGTATTCGACTTATATTATTAAGAGAAGTTAAATTAACTTCGTTCGACTTATATACCTTCCTTCCTTATGATTAGCTACCATAGTGGGGTCGGTTTCCTGCCTAGCGTTATTGCCTTCGACTATGTCATGGCTGTGATAGCGCGAACTTGACTATGAGAAGGAGTATAGTGTAAGGCCTCTTATCGAAGTATCTAGGCAATTAATCTAGACTCCTAAGGCTTAGATAATAGCTAGGCAGGCTATGTGACCTCTGACCTTGACGGTATGCCTCTTAATCAATTAGAGAGGGTAATCGGAGGTATGCCATTCTTCTAGGCGGCCTGGTTCTGCGAGAGGCTATTATCTATAACGTCTAGTAAAGTATTAATAATATTATTCTCTATATAAGATATCTGGGGCATTTTAGAGGCGATAAAGGCAGGCTAGTATAAGAAAAGATTTAGTAAAGCTTTAGGGAGGCCAGGTAATAAGGGAGGTATTTTGAGATATTTTATATTAGTCCTATGCGACTATACCGTATATATAATCGAAAAAGTAATTTAGTGGTATTAAACTTAATAAGATTCTTAATAAAATAGATATCGTTTTAAGTCAATAGGTTCAATTTTAGGTAAGTACCGTATAAGTAAAAATAAGTATTTTATATGGGGAGATTTTTTTTTTTGCTGTATGGTTGGTGGGTGCGTACGGCAGGTGGGTACTGCATGGTATCGAGAGGCTGGAGAATGCTGGCGATGAGGCTCCGGAAAGTATTCTGAGCCCAGAAAACCGATCTTCGAAGTGGTCAGGGGAAGACCAACCTCTGCGATCGAACCGAGGGTAATCGCCTGTCTCGACATCGTGGAAACACCGGAGTGATGAAATATCGAGGTTGCCATAGAAAAGGAGTACCATAAGAACTCGGTAAATTCGCGCTTTTTTAAGTTCAACCGTTAGTCTTAGCGTATTACTTCCCGGATAATTACTTCCTCATATAGTTAATATATTAAAATAATTATTCGAGGGGTAATATTAGAAGATTAGATATTCCCCCCGGCTAGGATTTTTATAGTTTCTTTTTTATCCGATCTAAAGCTATTACTACTACGTTTTTTATATAATGCCGCCGCTTAATGAGGTTAATCTTAATGCCGGCTAGACTATGGCCTTAATATTAAGGAAAAAGCCCGGCCTAAAGCCTAAGCCTCTTATAGAGCGGAAACTAAGGAGGATCCTATTAATTTAACGCCCGGAAAGAAGCTATTTATCGGAGTAGAAGGCGGAAGTCCTCGTATAGTTAATCTATAGCTATGTTATAAAGAAAGGTTAGAAAAGGAAGCCTATGATTTATAATACCTCGAGGTACTTTAAAATACTAGAAGGAATGATCCGTAGATAACGATAAAAGTATAAGTTTTTCCTCAAAGAATATTATTAGAAACTCTGCCCTAAGTAGCTAGGCCTCGAAGATTAAGTATACCTTTCTTTCTTAGAGCGCTGCGCCTAAGGGAAAATAGCTATGACCTCTTAGTTCCGCCGGAAGGTATAGGCTATTTATAAGGAATTATACCTAGACTAAAGCTCCTAGTTCTCTTTCTCTACCGGTTAATAGCGAGGCTTCCTTCGGCGTTATAATATTATAAAGCAATAAATAATAAAGTAATTAACTAAGAGGCTAGAGGATTATATTAATATTATGAATAGGTTTTTATGATTTATTAGGCGTATCTTTATATTATGATTCTAATCTTAGGCTATTATAATAATCTTAAACTCGCTAAAACGCTAGTTTTATCGGCGCCTTATACTTAACTTAGATAAGACTTTAATCCTATTTAAGTATCTTAATAGCTTTACTTAGGAAATACGCGGCGTAAAATTAATCTCTAGGAAAAGTAACCGTAGCGGGTAAAATAAATAATAGGCTACCTTAATTCTTTATATATTCATAGATAGCGAATTTAGGCTTTAACCGACTATTATATTTTATAGTACCCTTACCGATAAAGGCGGCTAAAATTACGAGAAGGAGTAATATTTTTATTCCCTTAATATTAATATAGAGTTTAATAAGATAGTATATAATAACGAGGAGCTTTTTTCTTCCTAGATTAATAATAAGCTTCTTCCCCTTATTAAGGATAAAGAAGAGGATATATTGCTTATAATAGATGTAGCTATATTTTATAAGACTAAAGGGATTAAGAAGAAACTAAGGGATAATGGTATTTCCTTTGTACTTATCCCTCCCGGCTATATAAGTCTTTTAGAACCCCTTAATACCGCTATTAATGCTCCTTTTAAGCGGTAGTTATAGGAGGCAATTGATAAATATATTAAGTAAATAGAAAGAGAGAAAAGAGAGGATTTTAAGTAGTTAGTTAGTAATAAGAGAGTTATAGTTACTTATATAGTTACTTCTACTTTAAAGCGTCTTAGCGTAAAGTTAGAGATAATTAAAAAAGCGTTCTTAAACTGCGGAATAAGTATATGCCTTAATAGGGCTAAGGACTAGCTAATCTAGATTAAGGATATACCTTTTAATTAAATTGATTTTACTAGGTAGGAAGAAGCTAAGGAAGTTATTATTAAAGACGAGGACCCCGTAGATCCCCTATATAACGACGAGGAATTCCTTATTGCCGATGATAATGAGCTTCTTCTATATATATAATATCACGAAGAAGTTATTAAGTAGCTATAAGAGCGGCTACGGAAGAGGGGCCTTAGGGTATTAGGGAAGAAGGTAGATCTAATCTAATGACTGCGAGATAATAATAACTCCTAGAAATATCGAGAAGGAGATATAATATATATTAGCTAACTAGACTATTAGAATTAGCGCCTTTAGAAGTCTTATTAACCTTATTATCTTGCTAAAAGAAGGCTATTCCTTCTTGCTATTTATGTTCCTTTCTTAACCTCTAGTCCGTCTTTAATACCAAAAAAACACATATATGATATCGATAAAGCCGGCGGCGGCGGCGGCGGCGGCTATCTTCGTTATCACGATATCGGAGGGCAGCTTTAATAGAAGGCAGAGGTTAGAAGTGGGAATAAGCCGCCTACCTATTTTTAGTGGGGGATCTATTCTGCCGCTTATCCCCGCCCTCTATGTGGCTTGCTAAGAGACGCCGGTTGAACTCAAAAAAGCGCGAATTTACCGAGTGCATGGCTCGTGACTATCGACCCTAACATATTATCCCAGGGTCGAAAGACAGCTTTGCTCCTCCTTTTCCCTGTCTTCCAATAGCTGTCACCCTTTGGCCGGCACTCACGCCTTTGGGCAGCCCTTCTTTAATATATTCCATTACCAAGCAAGAAGCATCGTCTTGCAACCTCCGATGGCGATTTGGATGAAAAGTCGCGGCTTCGGTTCCGGGGTTGACGGCTTCTCCCAAACATCCGTGACCATCATCATCGTCTTTCTTGCTATCTCCCTCCACAATTTCATCGAGCTCAACTGCATTATCTGGTGGACGTTCAAACGTCATGCTGGCCTGTACTTCTGGTCCTTCGTCGTCGCTACCTGGGGCATTCCACTATACTGCGCGGGCTTCCTCACCAAATACTTGGGGTCCCCGTCGCTGGGTTACTTTTCTTGCACATTGATCGTGATAGGCTGGATATGCTTGGTCACCGGTCAGTCAATGGTGCTTTGGTCCCGGGTCCACTTGGTGCTGCGGGATCGAAAGCTTCTCAAGATGATCTTGTGGATGATCATCACCAACGCCATCGTCTGCCATGGAGCCATTATCCCAATGGTCTATGGTTCCTTCTCCAGCAGCCCTGAGATGTGGCAGAAACCCTATACCATCATAGAAAAGATCGAAGTCACCGCCTTCTTTCTCCAAGAAGTCATCCTATCCGGTTTCTACATTGTCGAAACAGTCAAGCTCATGAGGCTCGAACGGGCCATGGGGAACACCGAGTCGAGCCGCCGTTTGATGAAGCACCTTATCCTTGTCAACGTCCTCATCATCCTCCTCGATATCACCATCCTCGGTCTTGAGTATGCGAACCAATATGAGTACCAGACAGCATATAAGTGCTTCGTCTATAGCACTAAGCTGAAACTGGAGTTTACCATCCTAAATCGCCTTGTCGAAATGACGACCGGAAACAAGGACATTAGCTCCGGCTCACGGAGTCGAAACAATATCACACTTAATAAGACCAGTGTCGCCCTGAAAACGTTGGTCGGCGACGCAGGCGGCAAGCCTACTGGTGGTGTCTCATACCCGGCATATGCCAGGGAAGGCGGCGAAGGCTCCAATGACAGTGTACAGATGTCGCCGACTCGGGATGACAATAGAGTCATGATGACAACGGAGATTGTCGTCCACCGCGTGGAAAGGCGGGATGATGAGACGGGGAGCAACTGCAGAAAGTTATCGGTCGACTCAACCATTGGAGTGACGAAGGCATTTGACGGGGAGGCCGTGTCGAAGTCATCATCCGAGGTCGATTTTGCAACTCACGGTTTCTGAGACAGAATGCAGATTCATTGCTTGGAAACATGTCTGCCGCACAGAATCAGTGTTGCGAATAATATGACAATAAAGTAGTTTATTGTAATACATACCATATAATATGCGTATTCTGATATTGTGACGATAATATGAGGATAACGTAATTGATAAGCGATTTTCACTCCAGGTGCCAACATCTATGTGTGAGCACACAGCGTGATAAGCCAGCAGCGGCCTAGCGCGGTGTTCCCAGGCTGGTCATCAATTCAATTCCATCAATTTCGCCTTCGCGTGGCGTTGCGTTGACAGCTTACTCAGCATTTAGCCCGTAGAGTTAAAACCACAGCATCTCTAAATAAAACTAATAGTATTAAATTAAAGAGGTTAAACCACATACCCGCGCCGAGATCCCAAACGCTTACCCCTCAGCGTCTCAGCTATCCTCCTCTATCTCCCATATAGTACTATTCCCAACCTCTCCTAACACATTAATTAACATATCCACCGCGTCGATTAGGCCATTCCGCACCCGCGACCTTAGTATCTATACTATCCCTATCATACTAACTTCCAATCAAGTCCATAGCGGTAAGACCATTTACCCAGCAACACTAAACAAACGCTCGCACTCTACGGACATAGGCAGCACCGATAGCAAGTCAAGAGCCATTCGTGACAGTCAAGGGTAATCTTTCCGTCTCTCCCACCAATATTAGATGGGATCCATGACAAGAGAGTCATTCTTAGCGTCAGGACTCAACAGCCAGTGGTCATATTCGTCATGGTCTGCGTTCAGTGAACTTTCCAAAGAACACCTGCCTGCCAGAGACGACGTCCTATGGGCTCGGTGTCTTTCGAGCGCACTCATTGCCTTTAAACGCTTGAACGGAGATTCTTCATCCGAATTCGAAAGAGTCGGTAGTGATTTGTACTCTTCGTCCCACAGTGTCCTCACCATTCCTTTTGCCTCCTGAAGCCATGGCAGCTGTACTTTGTCAGTCCACGTATTCTCGAAATACCCCCAACGCGATGCTGGATTCAAAGTCGTCGAAGCATAGTACGCTGGCGTCTCGTCCAGCTTCGTATAGTACTCGTTCAACTTCCCCAACCCAGGTTAATGTTTATCTTGAAGTGTTCGGGATCCGGGTAGTTCTCTGCTGTTGCTTTCCACTCAACGGCTCCGCCTCCGGATGTTCCGCCGCCGACGCCGCACCACTGTTCCCAACTTCATCTGAGTGTACTGCCCCAGGGGATACATGGAAGAATATGGCAGCTCACTCCTACGTCGATAAGTTCAAAAACTCTATAATCTCGAGTGATAGTCGCGCCTAAATTTCGGTCAATATATCCAAGCTTTGGTCGTAGTGCTGGAACATTCTTGTAACAAGCGTTGACGTCTGGCTTATGCTGGTGTTATCTGCATGACCCTTGCACAAGACCATACGATTGCGGCTGCTGTCTCTTATCGAGAAGAGACACAGCAATATCGAGCAGGAATTCCTTGGGAAGATCCTCCTGAACCGCCCAGTCCATCAACCAATCGCCATATCCGTAGAATATGTACATATCCACAAGGAACAGCCTAGCTTTGGATGATCCGGACATGTTTTCGTAGATTAAGCGAATAGCTAGGCCGACTAGATACCACCTCCTACCGTCCGCCGCTTTCGAAGCCGTCTTGTCTATCATTGCATCCATGACAGCGTCTTAAAAGCTGCCGTCCTGCAACATGTCCCCCAGTATTAAAGCATTCGCCAGCTACATATACTCAGCATTTCCAGCAAGCCCTGGTTTGTCGATCTGCACGGGAAGTATATAATAATACAGCCAGTATAGGTAGACGTTGAACACATCTAGACTATCGCTCTCCAGCCAGACCAGTCATTCTTCGGACTCTTTCCAGCCGCCCTGTACCGCCTTTTTGAAGAAATAGTATGATGAGCAGATCAGGTTCTCGTGCATGCTAATTGTGACCGAAGGTGACGATCCTACAACGACTTCGATAGATCGGCCATCGAGGCTGAAAGAATCAGAAAGTGCTCATCTCATTTTGGAGTGCAAGACTTACTTTATTGCTTGTTCTTTACTAATTCTCATGTCGCTTCTTTTTCAATTCTTGAGTAAATTGTTGTTTTAGGGAATGGTACGGGAGGCAGCGTGATATGAAAAGAGTTTTATTGAGTAGTAGCGTTTCACGATCTAATAAGTCGGGAACTTTTTACTAAATACCAACCCCTAGTGCTGGGAATAGAGACCGAAGTTAGTATAAAGTTTGCTGCAAATTATAGTAGCCGAGTAATCCCTAGTGTCTTCTTTATAGCTTTATAGTAAGGTAATTATGCCATACTTCTGATTCCCAACTATTTACCGACCAGCAGCGGCAGCTTATTAATAATAAGAGGCAACCAACCTTTAACGCTAGTAACTTACTATACTATAGTACTCCGATTATGGCTACGAGTATTTATGACGTGCTACCGGGACGATATCTTATCTTATTATATCTTATTATATTATCTCACGTCTTATCTTATCGAGAGAATAGGGGTACCGGGCTGTTTAACAGGGATAGCGTTCTATTTAAAATAGATGCGTATTAGCTCCTAGAAATCAATAAGGGTATTATTCGTCCTAGACGAGATCTTATTGGCTGAGTCTGCCCGGACACAAGCGAAATCCGACACCCTAAACCCATCATTGATCCTGGAGACCACACATAGTCTTGCAAGGGGGCATAAAATTACCAAGTATTTTAACATGGTTGAGGCTTCCCAAAAGGGTTATGTCACCCATGTGGTAATGTGCGACCGTAAATTTCATGCTAATTATGGTAGGGGTTAACGCACGGACGGAAAGTGTGTAATTTAGTAAATTACAACCTGTCCTTAGTACAGTAGGGAAGTGTCGCATATCACCGCTAGGCTCGTGCGACTGGATATGAGACGTGGCTCATACTTTGGGGTCGTGTATCCGGTTTCACATCCGACTTATCGCATCAAGGATTCCAATCCTAACGATATAAGCTTAAATAGCTCTGCCCGAACATATAGCTATTTAATTTCTTTTATTCTTCAGATAATTCTCATTAATTGACTGGGGCCATTAATGATCCCTATGGAGCCAATTATCTAACAGGAAGTCTAACTAGTAATCGTCGGCTGACCCATTGCCACGCAAGCGCCAAAAAATTTCCCGTACAAAATTAATCATCGACGACTCACCGACGCAAGGCCTAAGTGTCAGGGCCTAATTAATTTGTACTACTTATTGAGAAGTCTGGCAGAGGGGTTAAAGCCATAGTTAGTTACGGGTTAGATATTCGAGCTAAAGCGCTATAATATCCGCGGTCGAACTTCTATACCGAGCAGATATCTCTAATAGCATCTAATCGAGCGCTTCCATCGCAGGCTAAGGCTAGGGCTATATAATTAGGCGCCCGACCTTTACTTAGCTATTAGGCATTAAGATAAGCCCGCGGCATAACCGCACTAGATCGGGGGCGTGACTAATAGTAATAGCCTAGGCGCAATATATACATAACTATATATCGGCGATAAGCGCAAGGGCGATTTCATTAAAGCCATACTCTACCAGTAATTTGATAGTCTTATAGCTCTAAAAGGCAAGAGTATTTCTAATAACTTTTAAGGTATAATTAGTAATTAATTTAAACTTAGAAGTATTATATATAGCGTCCTAATAGTCGACCCCGAGTTATTATACTACTACCTATGCTATTAGGTAGCCTATGATTGCCTCGACTAGAGCTAATAATATAGGAATAGAGGTAATTACGCCGGTAATACTTATAATATTACCATCGATAATATAGCGCCAGTTCTAAAGCTATTAAGACTTTAGAAAATATCTTATTATCTTCTCGAAGGCGAACTAATAAGTAATCATAGCCTTACCGTCAAAGATACTAATACGCGCAGTAATCTATGCCCCTTCGCAAATAATAATAATTATCGTCCCCTTCTTCGCCTATTCGTAGACCTATTTAATTAGCGCAGGGTTCTTATTATCGCTAATAGCCGGCATAATAAGAATATCGGCGCTAGTATTTATATTATTAAACTCTCCCGTTATTATATCTAGCTAGAGTTAAAAGGCGAGGATTAATTTAATAATGCTAAGGCGAGTTAAGATAATAATAATATCTAAAATGCCTAACTCTTTAAGAATACTATAGGGGATAACTAAATTAGTAATTTCTATCCCTATATTATTAGTAATAATAGCGACGAGCTAGTAGATATATCTCGCCCTAGCTAGCGGCAACGCCAATATTAGCCGGGCCTCGGCGGTACTCTAGGGTTCAGCTATATAGATATAATAGTTATAAACTATAAGAGGTAAAATAGGTTAATATATTAATCTAAATAGGGGTAATTTAAGGTAATATCTTATACAATAATAGATATAGCCGAGGCAATAGAACCGGATAAATATTAAATATATATAAGGGATTATTACCTTAGACAACCCCTAAAAAGGAAAGTATTTTAGCTAGATATCTACTTATGTTAGTAGCATCGTATTAACGCGCGTTCCGCAGCTTTAGTTCCAGGCAGCAGAGAAGGTCTGGTCACCAGATCAGTCAGGGTTCACTAGTAACGCAGTTAATGAGGGACGCTAAGTCCTGCAGGGAGTAGGTATCCGGGAAATTCCTTAGTAGGGAGACCAAAGATAATTTTCTTTAGGCATTAGATCAATTAAGGCCACTATACGAACACCACAGCGCTAGATTACCCTCTATTATTCTAATGGACCGCTACGCCGCCTATATAAATACTATTGAGATCTCCTTTCCTATGTCTTACTTACTACTTTGCCGCTAGCACGCAAATAAGGCAGTCCTCTATTATTACCGGCTAGCTTTTATCCGCTAAAATAAACTAATCTCCACCGACCTAGCAATAAATAATACTATAGAGGACTAATAGTTAGTCCGAATTCTACTAGTTTTAGCACTTAATTATAGGTACGCCGAACGAGGAAGAATTTAAGTACTA